GGGGGGGGCAAAATTTATTATGGTTTATAATGGTAAATGATACTTTGAATATTACATGTTATTAACTTGATTGGAATTATAACCTTGAATTGACAGTTTGATACTTTGAAAATTTACCCCCAAGGGCTGTAGGGTGGGGCTCAAAGGAGTTTGTGTGCTAAAATTTCTTCATTTGCCTTGTTAAGAATCAGAGGTGCTAGTTTCAAATCCTTTTTAGTCTTAAATCTGTATGCTAGATATTGAATAAGGTGGTTTTATTGTTTTTTTGTCACTTTGAATAATATTTCTGTTCATGTTAAAAACAAAATCAACTCTCTGTATAAATATATCAGGTGACCGTTAAGGCCCATGGGCCTCTTGTTTATGATTTACATTTTATGTTATTTCTAGGAATTCTTCATGCTGCAGATGAGAAAGATTTCAAAACTGCCTACTCCTATTTCTATGAAGCATTTGAGGGATATGATTCTATTGACAGTCCAAAGGCTGTTGTAGCACTTAAATACATGCTCATGTGCAAAATCATGCTCAATACGTAAGCTGTCACACTATTCTCAGACATTTAAGCAGGCTAAACTGTATGCTAATTTGATTAAGTATAAGAATATGAAACGTAACACTTCTCTTTTTTAAAGACCTTCCAGTCAGAAAAATGTTCATATATTCTGGCATGTTTTAAGATTTTTTGACTGTATTACAAAAACTGCCTTGAAAATCACTTAATTACTGTCTTGCAAAGATAACCTGTTGTTTGCAGGGCTGATGAAGTACAGGCAATCGTGAGTGGAAAGCTAGCACTGAAGTACAGTGGTCCAGAGGTCGAGGCAATGAAGAGTATAGCAACTGCCAGCCACAAACGCTCTCTTGCAGAGTTCCAGAAAGTAGGTGTCAGTTACAATTGATAAAAATAGTTGATAATTTATCGAAAAAAATGAGAAATAAGCTTGGTACCCATGTAATTTTCATTTCAGAATATTTTATTGTATAGATCTTACATACAAAAGGAAATGGGCAACAGGCAAAACCTATAAAAGCCCTTTCCTAAATTATAAACAGTGCATAAATAAAGTAGAAATATATAGTCTTATTTTTAATTGTAGATGTCTGAGTATGAATTGCAGTTACCTGACCCATGTCATATTATTGTGCACTACCTCTGATATATTGTGATACCTTGGCGTATATCATAAATACGGAATGAATATATTACAATACCTATTCTAATATATATTGTCATAGGAAAAAGGTGCTCAATTTAAAAGAAATTAGTATCAGAATGTTATTAAACTCATCATACATAATATGGATCATTTAGATTTAAGATTTTTGTCAAACCAACCATTGATTATGAAATTTTTACTGATTCACACCGCTTTTATTGTTATTGGCATATCTGTTAGTTTGCATTTGCATAGTTAAAACACCAAGCAAATAAATAAAATGAACTTTTGAAAATATTGTGATACTGTGATATTCCATGTGTGTATTGCGATACCATTTGCCTGTGTATTGTGATATACCGGTTTTCTGACATACTCTCACAGCCCTAGTGGTATCTGTGCAGTAAGTAGGGAGCTGCTGTATTCCACTGCATGTCATAATAGGACCTACGTAGCTCCTTCTGCAGTGTGAATGGGCAGTGGAGTTTCTTAGTGTGTTATCTAGAGGGGAAAAAAAGAGACTTGACTTGATCTGCTATTCCTAATGCAGCACTTGGGATCTCTTTCTTTTATCTCGTTAATGCCTACTCTTTCCTTCCGGTGGTCACATCTTAGGAACTCGTCTTCATTTGACCCTAACTGTTGCAAGGCTATTAAAAGGCAAACAGTAGGGAAATGATGCAATCATCAATCATTTGTTTCAGTGGAATTTTCTGCTGTTTGTTTTAGACATTGGGGACATTCAAACCACAACTGGAGGACGATCCAATTGTAAACGCTCACTTGAAGACCCTTTATGACAACCTACTTGAACAGAATCTCTGTAGAATTATAGAACCTTTCTCCAAAGTTCAGGTAAGAAACTGAGAAGAAAAGATGACAATTTCCTTTTAACTGATATGTTTGATAGTATAGTTTGAAGGACTACCAAGTTTTGTTCAAATAAATGACAATTTGCCCATTTTCAAGGTCACAGGGGTCAAATATGTTTATCTTTTTAACAACTTTTTCTGAATAATCAAGAATCCTAGGGTGTAGATATTTGGTCTGGATCAGTAAAATGCTACCAAGTTTGTTAAAAGGAATGACCTTTATCTATTTTTAAGGTCAAATGTGTAAAATATGTTAAAAAAAAATTAAACGACTTCTTTTAAGTAACCAAAAGGCCAAGTATGTTGATATTTTGCCAGTAACATGCAGGGATGAAAGGCCACCAGGTTTGTTGAAATGAAAACTTGACAAATGTTCAAGGTCACAAGGGGGAACAAATATAGATAAAATAAATATGATAAGAACTTTAATTGACTTTTTAGCTCACCTCACCATCCGTCGTCCGTCCGGCGTCAACTTTTTACTTTAAACAACTTCTTCTCATTAACCAAAAGGCCTGGGGTGATGATATTTTGCCAGAAGCATGCTGGGATGAAGGGCTTCCAACTTTGTTCAAATAAATGACCTTCATCTATTTTCAAGGTCACAGGAGTCAAATACATTAAAATCTTTAAGCAACTTCTTCTGAATAACCAAGTGGCCTAGGGTGATGATAGTTGGCCAGTTACATGCTGGGATGAAGTGCTACCAAGTTTGTTCAAACAAATGACCTTGAATCATATTCAAGGTCACTGGGGTCAAATATGTTAAAAACATTTAGACAACTTCTTCTGAATAACTGAGAGGCCTAAGGTGATGATATTTGGCCAGTAACATGCTGGGATGAAGGGCTACTAAGTTTGTTCAAATAAATGATCTTAAATCATATTCAAGGTCACTGAGGTCAAATATGTTAAAAACTTTTAACAACTTCTTCTCAATAACCAAAATGCCCAGGGTGATGATATTTAGCCAGTAGCATGCTGATATGAAGGGCTACAAAGTTGTTCAAATGAATGACCTTCACCCATATTCAAGGTCACAGGGGTCAATTGTATTAAAAAACCTTTAAACAACTTCTTCTGAATAACCAAAAGGCTCAGGATGTTGATATTTAGTCAGTAGCATGCTGGGATCAAGGACTACTATGTTTGTTAAAGTGAATGATTTTGACTTATATTCAAGGTCACAGGGGTCAAATTTGTTTTAAATCTTTAAACGACCTCTTCTGAATAACCATGGGTCCCAGGATGTTGATACTTTGCAAGTTGCATCCTGAGATGAAAGGCTATAAAATTTGTTCAACATAATGACTTTGTTTGACTTTCAATCACAGGGGTGAAATGTTTTAAAAGAAAGTAACAGGATCTTTTGAATGAATTTTAATCATAAATACTGATATTTTTCCTGTAGCTTTATTTTAGATCACTTTTAAGGTTACAAGTGTGAGATTTATACCAGGTGAGCAATGCAGGCCCATTGGGCCTCTTGTTCTGAATAACCAAAATGCATAAGGCAATTATATTTGGGCAGTAGCATGCAGGGATGAAGGGTAGTTTGTTAAACAAATGGCCTTCACCCATATTCAAGTCACAGGGGTCAAATGTGTTGAAAAAAAAATAAGCAGCTTCTTCTGAATAACCAAAATACATAAATTGGTGATATTTTGCTAAGCATGCTCAGATGTGGAGCTATCAAGTTTTTAGGTCACTTGAGACTCTGTGAATGTTCTTGACCCAGTTTCAACCTAATGTCCTTGTTTGACTTTCAAGGTCACAGGCATCATATGTTTAAATAGTTTAATAGGTTCTTATGAATCAAACACTGATATTCTGCCTGTTGCTGTATTTTAATCCATTTTTAGCTCACCTGCTACCTCACTTTCAAGGTCACTGGAGTCAGATGTCTTAAAATCTTCAAACAACTTCTTCTCAATAACAAAAAGGCCAAGGGGACTGATATTGGGCCTGTAGCATGCTGGGATGAAGGACTACCAAGTTTGTTCAAATAAATGACCTTCACTCATTTTCAAGGTCACTGGGGTCAGATGTCTTAAAATCTTCAAACGACTTCTCCCCAATAACCAAAAGGCCCAGGGTACTGATATTAGACATGTAGCATGCTGGGATGAAGGGCCACCAAGTTTGTTCAAATAAATGACCTTCACTCATTTTCAAGGTCACTGGGGTCAGATGTCTTTAAATCTTCAAACGACTTCTCCTCAATAACCAAAAGGCCATTGGTACTGATATTGAACCTGTAGCATGCTGGGATGAAGGGCTACCAAGTTTGTTCAAATGAATGACCTTGACCAGCTTTCAAGGTCACAGGGGTCAAATGTTTTAAAATCTTCAAACAACTTCTCAATAACCAAAAGGCCCAGGGTACTGAAATTAGGCCTGTAGCAATGCAGGCCCATCGGGCCTCTTGTTAAGATTACAAGTGTGAAATTAATACCAGGTAAGCGATGCAGGCCCATTGGGCCTCTTGTTATGGCAAATGATACTTTGAATATTACATGTTAATAACTTGATTGGAATTATAGTTGACAGTTTGATACTATGAAAATTTTGAGCCAGCCGTACTCCCAAGGGCTGTAGGGTGGGGCCCAAAGGAGTCGGTGTGGTTATGCCATGGCACGGCGTCCGTCGTCTGTCCTTCGTCTGTCGTCCTGCGTCTGTCCGGCGTCCGGCAACTTTCCTTTAAATGACTTCTTCTGAAGTACCAGAAGGCATAGAGTCATGATATTTGGCTTTTAGCTTCCTTATATGAAGCCGACCAAGTTTGCGAAAAAAACAACAGAATTTGACCTACTTTCAAGGTCACAGGGGTCAGATATGTAAAAACCTTCAAACAACTTCTTCTGAAATACCGAAAAATTAGAGACATGACAATTGGTAGGTAGCTTCCATGGAATAAGCCGAACAAAGATTGCGAATAAAAATGGCCTTGACTACTTTCAAGGTCACAGGGGTGAAATATGTCAAATGCTTCAAACGCCTTCTTCTGAAGAACTGAACGGTATAGAATCTTTATATTTGATTGATGGCTTCCTGGGATAGAGCCTGACAAAGTTTGAGGATGAAAATGACCTTGACCTTCTTTCAAGGTCACAGGGGTCAAATGTGTCAAACACATCAAACGACTTCTGAAGAAGAACTGAAAGGTATGGAATCTTTATATTTGGCAGGTGGCTTCCTGGGATCGAGCCTGACAAAGTTTGAAAATGAAAATGACCTTGTCTTACTTTCAAGGTCACAGGAGTCAGATATGTCTAATTCTTAAAACGAATTCTTCTGAAGAAATGAAAGTTATAGAACCTAAATATTTGGCTGGTGACTTCCTGGGAAAGAGCCAAACAAAGTTTGAGAATGTAAATGACCTTGACCTACTTTTAAGGTCACTTGAGGCAGATATGTCAAACACTTCAAATGACTTCTTCTGTATAAATATATCAGGTGACCGTTAAGGCCCATGGGCCTCTTGTTTCATGTAAATGCTCAATTTGACCAACTTTCATAGTTATATTTGGTCAAATTGAGCATTTCTCAAGATTGCTCTGTCAGCCTGGTCTTCCTGGATTTGGAGTCTCCACTACATTAAGATGAATTCTCATACTAAATTAATGGTAATTATTACTGAGGTTTTTTTTGTAAAACTAATTCATATGATGCAATACTTACTATAACTTTATGGAGTTCCACCCTGTATTCATCCCCTTTTCTCCTCGACCTTGGTTGTCTTTTGGCTCCATAAAAGGTTTTTGAGGAAGGGAGATCACTCTGTGTCTCTACGGTCAAGATATGGGTCCCGTGGGGGTATGGAAGGCAGGATTTGTTTAACCCTTAGTTTTTGGGCTACAAAGATGGGTGTAGGTATTGAATGTGCATACTAAAGTTAGGGTAAGTATTACGTCATGAAAATTGGTTTTACATAATAAAAAAAAAGCCACATTCTTTTTCTACATTTTAATGGGTTATTTTTCCTTTTGTTCCCAGGTTCAACATATTGCTAACTTAATAAAATTACCGATGGTAAGTATTGGATATGAATGTTGTAATTTATACAGTAAAACAATATAACTTGAACTTGTGCGGTCCAGGTCAATAGTTCAAGGAATACAGTGGTGAAAGTGCTAGGGAGGTACTAGCGCTATTCAAATCACCCTGCTTCCGTGGTCCGTTGTCCGTCCTTAAACAATTCTTGTTATCAGTATTTCTCAAGAAGTACCAGAGGGATCTTTCTCAAATTTTATATGTAGGTTCCCCTTGGTCCTTAGCTGTACAGGGCAACTTTTGAGACTGATCGGATAAACAAAATGGCTGACAGGCAGCCATCTTGGATTTTGATAGTGAACGTTTGTTATAGCTATTTCTCAAGAAGTATCAGAGGGATTTTTCTCAAATTTTATATGTAGGTTCCCCTTGGTCTTAAGCTGTGCAGGGCAACTTTTGAGACTGATCTGCTGAACAACATGGCCGACAGGCAGCCATCTTGGAATTTAATATTGAAAGTTTGTTATCGCTATTTCTCAAGAAGTATCAGAGGGATCTTTCTCAAATTTTATATGTAGGTTCCCCTTGGTCTTAAGCTGTGCAGGGCAACTTTTGAGACTGATCGGATAAACAACATGGCTGACAGGCAGCCATCTTTGATTTTGATATTGAAAGATTGTTATCGCTATTTCCTCGGGAAGTATCGGAGGGATCTTTCTCAAGTTTTATATGTAAGTTCCCCTTGGTCCTAAACTGTGCAGGGCAACTTTTGAGACTGATTGGATAAACAACATGGCCGACAGGCAGCCATCTTGGATTTTGATAGTGTAGGTTTGTTACCGCTATTTCTCCGGAAGTACTAGAGGGATTTTTCTTTAATTTTAAATGTAGGTTCCCCTTGTAACCTCGTTGTGCATGTTATATTTTGAGACTGATCATAAAAATAAAATGGATTAAAAGAATAACTAAACAGATCTTTCTTATATTGCAATGATCGATTCTATTTCTTTCACATTAAGTACTGTACTAGTAAATATGTGAAATGACAAACTCACTTTAAAGGCTGGCTTTCATACACATCAGTATTAAGTTTAGATCAAAAGTGACCTCAAGGTGCATTTACTGTTAACATGACTCGATCAAACAGATTAGAGGAAAGAAGCGAAAAGATCAAACTGACAAAGAACTAATGAAGATGGTACACTTACCAGATTTATATACTTGTAGAGACAATGTGAACAGTTTTAAAGGGACATCAGTACTTATGTACTATTTTGACAAACATGTGCAAACACCAAAACTAAAAAAAAACATCCAAAATATACTGATTACTAAAAACCCTTACCTAGAGTGTGATGAGACTTTGTTCAGTAATGATTATACCCTAAATTAAACAACGCATTGTCAATTATGAAATTTTCATTGTACCCCGATGTGATATGCACCCCAGGGTAGCTGGAATGAAGGAAACATTTTTATAAGATAATGTTGGCGTACTGTATTTTGCACATTTTGTTTTAAAGTATAATACATGTACATTATCATTAACTCATTGCTAATACAGCCGTTCTCATCTGATTGTTTGGTCGTTATCAAGCTAGTATTTTAGAGGACAGATTGAAATTGCTATGAAGAAGTATGTGTAACTCAGAATTGAGTCCATCCAGTTCACAATTCAGCTACTGATGGTGGCTGCTGGATTTTTTAAGTTCCAATGTGTTACATATTTTGTCTTTAAAATGTTTCTGCTTGCTTTTTTTCTCAGGATACAATAGAGAAGAAGCTTTCACAGATGATCCTTGATAAAAAATTCCATGGTAAGATAATTATACCCCCCCCCCCCCCCCAGAACGAAGTTAGGGGGGGTATACTGAAATCAGCTTGTCTGTCCGTCTGTCTGTCTGTAGAGAAAGTTTCAGTACAACTCCTTCTAAAGTAATGACCAATTTCAACAAAAGTTTCCAGATATGATAACTACCACTTGAAGTTGTTCAAATGAATGACCTTCACCAATGTTCAATGTCACAGGGATGAAATATGTTAAAATCTTTCAAACAACTTCTTTTGAATAACCAAAAGGCCTTATAAAGTTTGTTCAACATAATGACCTTTTTTCGACTGTCAAGGTCACAGGGGTCAAATATGTTTTATACCTTTAAACTACATCTTCTGAATAACCATAAGGCCCAGAATGTTTATATCTGGCCAGTAACTTGCTGTGATGAAGGGCTACTTTGTTTATAAAAATGAATTACTATCACCCATGCTTTTTTTTAATCTTAAAACAACTTTTTCTAAATAACCATCAGGCGCAGAATGTTGATAATTGGCCAGAAGTATGCTTTGATAAAGGGCTATCATGTTTGTTAAAATGAATGTCTTTGACATATATTCAAGGTCACATGGGTCAAATATGCATGTTTAAGTATATAACATATCTATCACAAAGTATAATTATATTAACATCTATCATAAAGTATAGTTATATCAACATCTATCATAAAGCATAGTTATATCAACATCTCTCACAAGTATAGTTATATCCATATCTATCACAAGTATAGATATATCAACATCTATCAGAAGTATAGTAATATCAACATCTATCACAATTATAGTTAAATCAATATCTATCACAATTATAGTTAAATCAATATCTATCACAATTATAGTTAAATCAATATCTATCACAATTATAGTTAAATCAATATCTATCACAAGGATAGTTATATCAATATCCATCACAAGTATAGTTATATTAACATCTATCATAAAGTATAGATGTTAATATAATTATACTTTGTGATAGATATGTTGATATAACTATGCTTGTGATAGATGTTAATATAATTATACTTTGTGATAGATATGTTGATATAACTATGCTTTATGACAGATGTTGATATAACTATGCTTTATGATAGATATTGATATAGCTATACTTGTGAGAGATGTTGATATAACTATCGTAAGTATAGTTATATTAACATCTATCATAAAGTATAGTTATATCGACATCTATCACAAGTATAGATATATCAACATCTATCATAAAGAATAGTTATATCGACATCTATCACAAGTATAGCTATATCAATATCTATCATAAGTATAGTTATATCAATATCCATCACAAGTATAGTTATAGCAACATCTATCAGATAGTATAGTTATATCAAAATCTATCATATAGTATAGTTATATCAACCTCTATCACAAGTATAGTAATATCAACATCTATCACAAGCATAGTTGTATCAACATCTATCATAAAGAATAGTAAGATCAACAGCTAACAAAAAGCATAGTTATATCAACATCTATTACAAGTATAGTTATATCAATACCTATCACAAGTATAGTTCTATCAACATCTATCACATGTATAGTTATATCAACATATATCATAAAGTATAGTTATATCAACATCTGTCATAAAGTATAGTTATATCAAAATCTATCACAAGTATAGCTATATCAATATCTATCATAAGTATAGTTATATCAAAATCTATCACAAGTATAGCTATATCAATATCTATCACAAGTAGAGTTCTATCAACATCTATCACAGGTATAGTTATATCAATACCTATCACAAGTATAGTTAAATCAATATCTATCACAATTATAGTTAAATCAATATCTATCACAATTATAGTTAAATCAATATCTATCACAATTATAGTTAAATCAATATCTATCACAATTATAGTTAAATCAATATCTATCACAATTATAGTTAAATCAATATCTATCACAATTATAGTTAAATCAATATCTATCACAAGTAGAGTTCTATCAACATCTATCACATGTATAGTTATATCAACATATATCACAAGTATAGTTATAGCAACATCTATCAGATAGTATAGTTATATCAAAATCTATCATATAGTATAGTTATATCAACATCCATCATAAAGTATAGTTATATCGAGATCTATCGTAAGTATAGTTATATCAAGATCTATCACAAGTATAGATATATCAACATCTATCATAAAGTATAGTTATATCAATATCTATCACAAGTATAGTTATATCAACATCTATCGTAAGTATAGTTATATCAACATCTATCACAAGCATAGTTATATCAACATCTATCATAAAGTATAGTTATATCGACATCTATCACAAGTATAGTTATATCAACATCTATCACAAGTATAGTTATATCAACATCTATCGTAAGTATAGTTATATCAACATCTATCACAAGTATAGTTATATCAACAACTATCACAAGTATAGTTATATCAACATCTATCGTAAGTATAGTTATATTAACATCTATCACAAGCATAGTTATATCAATATCTATCATAAAGTATAGTTATATCGACATCTATCACAAGTATAGTTATATCACCATCTATCATATAGTATAGTTATATCAATATCTATCACAAGGATAGTTATATCAATATCTATCACAAGTATAGGTATATCAACATCTATCACAAGTATAGTTAAATCAATATCTATCACAAGTATAGTTATATCAACATCTATCAACATCTATCACAAGTATAGTTATATTAACATCTATCACAAGCATAGTTATATCAATATCTATCATAAAGCATAGTTATATCAACAAACATCTATCATAAAGTATAGTTATATCGACATAACTATACTTGTGATAGATGTTGATATTACTATACTTGTGATAGATGTTGATATAACTATGCTTTATGATAGATGTTGATATAACAATGCTTTATGATAGATGTTGATATAACTATACTTGTGATAGTTGTTGATATAACTATACTTGTGATAGATGTTGATAGATGTTGATATAACTATACTTGTGATATCAACATCTATCGTAAGTATAGTTATATTAACATCTATCACAAGCATAGTTATATCAACATATATCATAAAGTATAGTTATATCGACATCTATCACAAAGTATAGTTATATCGACATCTATCATAAAGCATAGTTATATCAATATCTATCATAAAGCATAGTTATATCAACATTTATCATAAAGCATAGTTATATCAACATCTATCACAAGTATACTTATATCAATATCTATCACAAGTATAGTTATATCAATATCTATCATAAAGCATAGTTATATCAACATCTATCACAAGTATACTTATATCAATATCTATCACAAGTATAGTTATATCAATATCTATCAAAAGTATAGTTATATCAACATCTATCACAAGTATACTTATATCAATATCTATCACAAGTATAGTTATATCACCATCTATCATATAGTATAGTTATATCAATATCTATCACAAGTATAGGTATATCAACATCTATCACAAGTATAGTTAAATCAATATCTATCACAAGTATAGTTATATCACCATCTATCATATAGTATAGTTATATCAATATCTATCACAAGGATAGTTATATCAATATCTATCACAAGTATAGGTATATCAACATCTATCACAAGTATAGTTATGTCAACATCTACCATAAAGTATAGTTATATCGACATCTATCAAAAGTATAGTTATATCAACATCTATTCTATAGTATAGTTATATAAATATCTATCACAAGTATAGTTATATCACCATCTATCATATAGTATAGTTATATCAATATCTATCACAAGTATATTTATATCAATATCTATCACAAGTATAGTTATATCACCATCTATCATATAGTATAGTTATATCAATATCTATCACAAGGATAGTTATATCAATATCTATCACAAGTATAGTTATATCAACATCTATCATAAAGTATAGTTATATCAACATCTATCACAAGTATAGTTATGTCAACATCTATCATAAAGTATAGTTATATCGACATCTATCACAAAGTATAGTTATATCGACATCTATCATAAAGTATAGTTAATATACATCTGACACACTCTTGGATTGATTTATGTCTTTAAAGGTATTTTGGACCAAGGTGCAGGCGTGCTGGTAGTATTTGATGAGACACCAGTGGACAAGACATACGAGACATCATTGGAGACGATCCAGAACATGGGTAAAGTGGTTGATGCACTCTATCACAAGGCCAAGAAGCTTACTTAGACATTTCAGACAATGACTAGTTTAATATGGTTCCCTGCCTGAAATTCAGTGAAACTCTGCAAATGTAGACAGCTTTTGGTACTGCATGAAATTCTGTAGATTCTGTACTGTATTTCAAATTTATACTCTGTTAAGATTCAGTTTGCAACTGTTTCTGTAGTAGGTTTGGTAAAATTCTACCTAATCTGATGTATGGTCAGGGAAAGTCTACATATTCTGCAAAACACTTCAATGTGTTGGACCAAGATGGTTTTGTTTTGCAGTATCTTTGAGAATTTGGGTATTGTGTTCAGACCAAATACAATGAAATTTTAATCTTTGAAAAACTACAGATTAGTTATAGTTTAGTGACAGTTATTTTCACACAACATATTGCTTACCTTTTATCAGTGGTGGTTTCAAGTATCATTTTGACAGTTATTTATATGTTATGTAATATTTTCAAATTTAATGAATAATGAATTAAAGTTTTCACCAGTAAGTACAGGAATGGCATTTCACAAATAGTATAATTGCTGTACAGGATTTTAGTGGTATTCTTCATGTACAGTTACAGCGCTTCTGAATTGATATTTTAGATTTTGTATGATGTTATATTGGACATTATAATTTTGTCTGTTCATTTATGGAAACAATTGGAATTTAATTTTCTGTACCCAAAAAATATTTGCTTGGAAAACGAGGATCTGTCATGAGTCACCCTTCATATTGGATTTCTGATGTGATTTGTTAGCGAATTTTATTTTGAAAGTTCCCCATTGTCCCTAGATACACGTATTGAATTTTGAGCCTGATTGGAAAACCAAGATGTTCAAGAGGCAGTCAAATAAAATATTATTAGCACTATTTCTCAGAAAATGCTTCAAGGATCTTTCTCAAAATTTTACATGAAGTTTCCCAATGGTCTGTACTTAACAATATTGAATTTTGGGACGGATAGAAAAGAAAAAAAAGGATGGTCACCAGTCAGCCATCTTGAATGTAGCAGTTCAATTTTGTTATCACTGTTTTGTTTCCCTTGGTCCCTTTAAAAAAATAATGAGAATTTATCCGTCATTGACAGCACTTCTTATATGTAAGAATTAAAATGTTTTAGCCTTTGGCATATATTTAGTTATGCAATTCTTATAAATTATTATTTGCTTCATAGTGGCAAATAACATATGACATTCAGAGGTTTAAGTTATTGTACAAGATTTCCACCATTGGACTGGGTAAAAGTACCTGTAAGCAAAAGGAAGAGCAAACAAGGTAAAAGATCATTGTTTGTAGATCTGATAAAGATCCTGTCATGGTAGGCACCAAGATCCTTCTAGGATCCCTTGTTAATGTAAATTTTACCTGCTTTTCAGCTGAATTTTTTATGAAGAATTTTGTTTGAAATTTGTAGGTGAATTGAATTTATATAATCATATAAGAAATATATTTGCATTTACAATAAATATCTTTTCAGTACATGATGCTGTGAAATATATATAAAAAAAAAAGTTGCATGAGAGAAAACAGGTATTTCAGTTTCTGCCAAAAAAAAAAATAGCTGGATTTTATTTTCCAGGTGAATGATTCTTTAGTTTTTAAGGACACATTTGCTTATTAGAAAATTCATGTTTGAAAACTCAAATACATGTGAAATAATGTTTTTGCATATCATTCATGAAATGACTTATTACAATTGAAAGGGAGTCTGAATGAATGTGAAATGAAAACTGATTAAAAATACTAAATTGAAGAATGAGTGCTAAAGACACTTTTTCTTGAAAATCATTAGTGTATCTGTATGAAAGGTGTTGATTGTATGACATACTGAAAAATAAAAATTATGAATTTTCACCTGATTGTTATAATTTCATTATCAGATTGTGAGCTATTCAAATTGCATTGTGTCTGTGATCAATCATCCATCCCTCAGTTGAGCCTACTAAACAATTCTTGATATTGATACGTTTTTATGAAGCACTGGTCAGATTATTTTCTCAGTTTTCATATTAAGGTTCCCCTAGGTCTGAAGATATGAAAAATAATTATGATGGCTAGACAGTCATCATGGATTTTGACAGTTTACGCCTTTTATGGCTATTTTTGAAGAACTAAACAGATATTTGCCTTATTCCATACATATGATTCCCTTGTTCAGTGGTTGTGTATATTATTTTGAGACTTACCAGAGAAGACATGATGGCCACCAGGCAAAGCTTGTTGGATTTTGACAGTTCAAGATTGTAATAATTTGTTATTGCTATTTCTCAAAAAGAACAAGATTAATCTTTCTCTAATTTAATATGAAGATTCCCCTTTGTCCTTAGTTTAGGTTACTTTGAGACCCATTTGAAAAACAAAATGACCAACAAGCAGCAATATTGAATTTTTAACTCAGCTGGCTGGAAGGTCCAATTGAGCTTATCCTGTAGTGTGGCCCTTTTGTCATTTGTTTAAATGAATGACCTTGGCCAATATTAAAGGTTGCAGGGGTCAGTTGTCTTAATAAACATTTGAACAGCCTCTTCTGCAAAACCAAAAGCCAAGGATGATGATATTTGACTCTTAACATGCAGGGATATTTTGGATCAACGGGAGAAGCATAATTTAATATCAAAGGTTTTATTAGCTCACCTGGTCCGAAGGACCATGGTGAGCTTATGCCATATCGCTGTGTCCGTCGTCCATCATCCGTTCAACAACATTTCCTTTAAAACGCTACTAGTCCTGAACAGCCAAGTAGATTTTGACTTAATTTGGTCTGGAGCATCCTTGGGCCAAGGGGACTCAATTTTGTATAAACGGTGGGTGTGGTCCACCTGAGGGCAGAGGGCCGGGGCGGGGCCAAATAATGGAAATAGAGGTAAAACCTTCAAAATCCTTCTACCGTAAGGATTAAAGGATTTTATCCTGATTTAGTCCGGAGTATCCTTGTGCCAAGGGGACTCAATTTTGTATAAACAGTGGGTGTGGCCCCCTTGGGGGTGGAGGGGCGGGGCAGAATTGGGGAAATAGAGCAAATTCTTCAAAATCCTTCTTCTGTAGGAATGAAAGGATTTTTAGCTCACCTGGCCCAAAGGGCCAAGTGAGCTTATATAAATTATGTCATGTTGCGGTGTCCGTCGTCCTTTGGTCTGTCCATCGACCGGCATCAATCTTTTACTTTAAACAACTTCTTCACAATAACCAAAAAGCCTAGGATGATGATATTTGGCCAGAAGCAAACTGGGATGAAGGGCTACCAAGTTTGTTCTAATAAATGACCTTCACCTATTTTCAAGGTCACAGTAGTCAAATATGTTTAAAATATTTCAACAACTTCTTCTCGATACCCAAGAGGTATAGGATACTGATATTTGGCCAGTAACATGCTGGAATGAAAGGCTACTAATTTTGTTCAAACACATGACCTTCGTCTATTTTCGAGGTCACAGGGGTCAAATATGTTTAAAACTTTTAACAACTTCTTCTGAATACGCAAGATGCATAGGATAATGATATTTGGCAGGTAACATGCTGAAATGAAGGGCTGCTAATTTTGTTAAAACACATGCCCTTCGTCTATTTTCGAGGTCGCAGGGGCCAAATATGTTTAAAACTTTTAACAATTTCTTCTGAATACCCAAGACGCATAGGATAACGATATTTGGCCAGTAACATGCTGAAATGAAAGGCTACTAATTTTGTTCAAACTCATGACCTTCATCTATTTTCAAGGTCGCAGGGGTCAAATATGTTTAAAACTTTTAACAACGTCTTCTGAATACCCAAGACGCATAGGATAATGATATTTGGCAGGTAACATGCTGAAATGAAGGGCTGCTAATTTTGTTAAAACACATGACCTTCGTCTATTTTCGTGGTCACAGGGGTCAAATATGTTTAAAATCTTTAAACAACTTCTTCTGAATACCCACGAGGCATAGGATAATGATATTTTGCAAGTAACATGCTGAAATGAAGGGCTACTAATTTTGTTCAAACTCATGACCTTCATCTATTTTCAAGGTCGCAGGGGTCAAATATGTTTAAAACTTTTAACAACGTCTTCTGAATACCCAAGACGCATAGGATAACGATATTTGGCCAGTAACATGCTGGAATGAAGGGCTACTAATTTTGTTAAAACACATGACCTTCGTCTATTTTCGAGGTCGCAGGGGTCAAATATGTTTAAAACTTTTAACAACTTCTTCTGAATACCCAAGACGCATAGGATAATGATATTTGGCCAGTAACATGCTGGAATGAAGGGCTACTAATTTTGTTCAAACACATGACCTTCATCTATTTTCAAGGTCGCAGGGGTCAAATATGTTTAAAACCTTTAAAACAACTTCTCAATAACCAAACGGCTTTGGATGCTGATATTTGGTCACGAGCATGCTGGGATGAAGGGCAACCAAGTTTGTTCAAACAAATGGCCTTCACCCATTTTGAAGTTCACAGGGGTCACATATGTTTAAAACCTTTAAACAACTTCTTCTGAATACCCAAGAGGCAAAGGATAATGATATTTGCCCAGTATAAGCTTGGATGAAGGGCTACCAAATTAGTTCAAACGAATGACCTTCATCTAATTTCAAGGTCACTGGGTTCAAATATCTTAAACACCTTTAAACTTTTTTTTCCTCAATAACCAAAATGGCCTAGGATGATGATATTTGGCCAGTATCATGCTTGGATGAAGCGCTGCCAACTTTTTTCAAACAAATGACTTTCCCCATTTTCAAGGTCGCAGGGGTCAGATATCCTTAAAACCTTTAAACGACTTCTTCTGAATTACCAAGAGCCCTAGTGTTATGATATTTTGCCAGTTAGGTCCTGGGATGAAGGACTGCCAAATTTGTTCAAATAAATGACCTTGAACTTATTTCAAGGCCCCAGGGGTCAAATGTCTTAAAATCTTCAAACGACTTCTTCTCAGTAACCAAAAGGCAAAGGGTACTGCTATTGGGCCTGTAGCATGCTGGGATGAAGGGCTACCACGTTTATTCAAATGAATGACTTTGACCAACTTTCAAGGTCACAGGGGTCACATGTCTTAAAATCTTCAAACAACTTCTTCTCAATAACCGAAAGGCCCAGGGTACTGAAATTTTGCCTGTAGCATGATTGGATGAAGGACTAACAAGCTTGTTTAAATGAATGACCTTGACCCAATTTCAAGGTCACAGGGGTCAAATGTAAAATCTTCAAACCACTTCTCAATAACCAAAAGGTCCAGGGTACTGAAATCGGGCATGTAGCATGCTGGGATGAAGGATTACCAAGTTTGTTCAAATGTATGACCTTAACCCACTTTCAACCTAATGTCTTTGTTCAACATTCAAAGTCACAGGCGTCATATGTTTAAACCTTTTAATAGGTTCTTATGAATCAAACACTGATATTCTGCCTGTAGCTTTATTCTAGTCCACTTTTCAGATTCCAAATTTGAGATTAATACCAGGTGAGCGATGCAGGCCCATTGAGCCTCTTGTATTCAAGGTCACAGGGGTCAAATTTGTTTTAAACTTTAAATGACTTCTTCTGAATAACCATGAGGCCCATCATGTTGATATTTAGCCAGTAGCATGTTTCGATGAAGGGCTTTCAAGCTTTTTCATTTGAATGACATTGACCCACTTTCGAGGTCACATTTACTCAAATATGTTTAAACATTTAAATGACCTAATTTCAATAAACAAAATGATTGGTAGGTGATTTTTTGCAAGTTGCATCCTGAAATAAAAGACTAAGATTTGTTCAACATAATGATCTTGTTCGACTTTCAAGGTCACATGATTGAAATGTTTTTGAATCTTTTAACAGGTTCTTTTGAATTACTTTTAATCATAAATACTGATATTTTGCCTTCAGCTTTATTTAAGATCATTTTTAAGGTTACAAATGTGAGATGTATACCAGGTGAGCGATGCAGGACCATTTGGTCTCTTGTTTCCAAATTTGGTATGAAGCACCAAATGGTGAAGGGGAACTAACATTGTATAAATGGTTGGCCTGACCCTCCTGGGGGCAGAGAGGCGAGCCCAATAAGAGATATAGAGGAAAAAGCTTTAATATCCTTTTTCTTCCGTTGGGATGAAGGTAGTTTGACCAAATTTGAATAGTAGCAACCTATGTGGAAGGGAAATCAATTTTGTATAAATGGTCGGTCTAACCTCACTGGGGCCTGAGGGGTAAGGCTCAAAAGGGGTAATTTAGCGAATTCTTTAAAATTCTTCTTCTGTAGGAATGACAGGATTTTGTCATAAGCATCTTTTAGTGAAGGGGACTATATTTTGTATAAATGTTGGGTCCGACCCCCTAGGGGCAGAGGGGCGGGGCCAAAAGTGGAAACATAGCAAATTCTTCGAAATCCTCCATTTCCTGTAGGAATGACAGGATTTTGTCCAATTACATATAAATATAATCTCTGACTAACCATGTAATACATGCACAGCATCATCTGGCTATTTCATCTGCAATTTTGCTTACATTTCCAGGTGAGCGATACATGCCCTCAGGGCCTCTTGTTAATTTTCAAAACATTTCTAGAGTTCGATTAAGATTATTGATCTAAATTGGTATTAATGTACATCTGAGTAAAAAAGTTATTGGTACTTTTTTGAAGATAATGTAAAGGTTTATAAACATTTTACCATATGTAACCTTGAAATTGTTTAAGGTAATATGCTGGGATTAAGTGCTACAAAGTTTGTTTAAATGAATGACCTCCACTCATATTCAAGGTCACATTGATCCATTGTCTTATAACACCTTTAAAAGACTTCTTCTTAATAACCAAAAAGAACAGGGTGATGATATTTGGCCAGAAGCATTCTGGGATGAAGGACTATCAAGTTTGTTCA